TCTGTATGGCATTCTCAAGTGGAACATCTACAAGGCCAAGAAAAGAGGTGTCTTGGTCCGTGAACCGAGTGGCCGGTCGGTCTTGCAGAACATCTGGTGGGCGCCTGTGGAGTTTGATGGTATGTATCAAGGATTATGCGTCATTGCTACACCGGACTAACCTACCACTTTGTAGTTCTTGGAGTCGTTCTGTTCGCATGCGGTCTCGTCACCTTCCTCCTCCCGTTCTCTCTTGCCAGTACTGCGCCTGATGGCTGGTCTTCCGGGTACATCATTGCGATGATCGTCACGGGCTTCGTCGTTCTTGGACTCTTCCTTCTCAACGAGCTTTTCCTCGCCCCGGTACCATTCTTGAAGTTCAAGTTCTTCGCGGATCGAACAGTCATGGGTGCCTGCGTTCTCGACATCACCTACCAGGTCGCTTACTACTGCTGGAACAGCTACTTCACCTCCTTCCTCCAGGTCGTGAACGATGTCTCTGTTTCAGAGGCAGGGTACATCAGCAACACTTTCGATGTCGTCTCAGGCGTGCTGCTCTTCATCGTCGGCTTCTCCATTTCCAAGACTGGCCGCTTCAGGTGGCTCCTTCTCGTCGCGGTTCCGCTCTACACCTTCGGCCAGGGTCTAATGATTTACTTCCGCCGACCTGGCCAGAGCGTTGGATACCTCGTCATGTGCCAGATCTTCACCTCTATCGGCGGAAGCGTGTTTATCCTGTGCATGCAGGTTGCCATCCTCGCTGCTGTCGACCACCAGCACGTTGCTGCCGCCCTTGCTTTGCTTAGTGTGTGCGGCAACATCGGTGGCTCTGTGGGTAACACCGTTTCGGCCGCAATCTGGACAAACACCTTTGAGAGCGCCTTGGAACGGTACCTCCCTGCGTCTGCATTGGACAGTGTGGCTGATATCTACGGGGACCTCGACACGCAATTGAGCTATCCCGTCGGCAGCGATGAGCGCATCGGAATTCAAAACGCGTATGGGTATGCACAGACAAGAATGCTGGCTGCCGGCACGTCAGTTATGATCTTTGGATTTGTGGCCATGTTCATGATCAAGAACTATAACCTCAAGAAGATGACTCAAACAAAGGGGCTGGTCTTCTAGGCCTGCTAGCAATCAATAGGAAGAATACCTCAGTATTAATCAATCTTTTACTTGCAAGACCATTCCAAGAAGGTGATTTCCCGTTCTCATCATCCCGCATCACCATAGAACCATGCCTCGTCTATATACGAGCCCTATTGTATGCCCCTCGCGTGAGATATACGTTCCACACCGTATGCCATGTAACAAGAACCAAAGAAATAAGGCAGGCCCTTCCAGCACCACATCCAAACGCCTACGCTTGCCGCATGCCCTTTCTCCAACGTCTATCCCTATTGCGCCGTATGACAATGTGACAGAACCAACTATCGCAACCGGAGCATATGACTTCACTAAGAAGCCCACAAACGCTTTCGTTTGCGTCAAGCCAAACTACCGTTGCATGAGTGGCCACGCGAGTCTGTTACAATTCCGACTGTTTTTCATTCTTCAATGTGGCCAGGAGCTTTCTCCGCAAGCTTCCTGCGCTTGATACTCTCCCTTCCGACTTGGTTTTGGATATCTCGGGTGGCATTCAGTTGCTTGTTGTTGATCTTGAGCTGCGAGGCAAGTCAGTCAAGGAATCGCAGATGTATGGGAACGCGAGTTACCTTTCGCTCGGCGGCGGGGCCAGCAGCAAGTCTATGTGTCCAATCTCCTCGAAGCGCAGAGTGCAGCATGACCTTGTGGTTCTATTCATGAGATTCGTGTGTCAGTCGGTCTCCAGTATTTGACGTTCAAGAATCAGGCCATGTTATGCCATTTTGCTCACCTGCATATTGAAGCACATCTTCTCCCAACGATCCGCAAAGCTGTCGAATCGCTCCCATTTAGGGCAGCTGTCCCCAGTCCAGCGGAGCCTCAGCTCCCATCCCTCCTGACAGTCCATGGCAGAGTTCTGTTTCATACGTCAGATTTGGCCACCAGCACGAAGTAGCAGTCAGCACTTACCAAAAGCTTCTAACAGACGAGCTCCACCTCGACATCCGAGAGGTCACAGCGAGCAGCGGCTCGGAGGAGGTCAGCCGGTGTACTGTCAGGATTGACGTAGACGGAGTCTGTGTGAGAGATCCCTGGGATCTTCCTAGTCTTTTCCTTTCCATGCTTGCGCTTTAAGGACGGGCCCGGCTTGTTGACGGCTTCGTCTGTGGTGCTACCAAAAACGTCAAGGCCGTCTTGCTTCGAGTCCAATTGGGCCTTCTTTCGCAATGCGTCGGTCTTCTCTTGGAAGCAACTGGTATCAACGATTGCTTCGTACATGTGCTTAACGTACGCTTGCCGTTTCTCTCTCGTGGTCGGCCAAGTCGGGTCATCCTCGCGAGGCGTTGACTCCTGACGGAAGTGATGCTCGTAAGCTTTTCCAAGCGCCACCGCCTGGTCGTTATCGTCAATGATACCGCGGTACGCGAACGTGAGTGCGGTTTGAAGTTCATTCTTAAGAAGCACATCTTGGTGGTCAGTGATCTGCTTAGCCTTGCCAGAGCGCTTTGTTGGCTTGACAAGCTCGGGCTGCTGCGGACCCTCTGGAGATGTCGCCTTCAATGTGTTGTTGTATTCAGTGATGATTTTCATGTAGTGATCCACGATATCGGCGGACATGTTGCTAAGCCAGAAGGCAACATCGCTGCCCATCCGGCGGATGTCGGGGTTGGGTTCATTATGAAGAAGTGTGTCGTAGAAGTCCACGGATGGAAAGGCCCGCGAGCCGTCATTGAAGCGGTAAGGGAATACCTTATCTGGGAGCTTGTTAGAGGGACATAAGTGGTGTTTCTTGGCCATGATGATGACATACCGACAATTACGCCGAAGACGACCTTCCTCACTTCCAAAGAAGTCTGCTCGTTCATGACTTCATCCAGGAAGATGAGCAATGGGCCCTCTGCACTCTCGCTTGATCCGTCGTTGTGCAGTTCTTGGGAAACGTAGCTGTTGCGACCAACGTCATCGGTCGGCAACGGAGCCGCGCTCGCAGGAACCGAAACTGGAACTAGAGTGCTTCCAGTCGGCTGACGCGACGAATCATGTTGGCTTGAGTCCGAGGGCTCAAGATTGTCGTTCCCAGCGCACACTGGCGCGACCTGCGCGTCTGCGCCAGCGCGTTGATCGAGGAGCGGCGGCAGATCATTAGCAACCCACGCGTTTCCATCCCTATTGAGGCGTCAGCAATCGCGTGAAACGCCGCGCGGTAGCTTCATTATCTCACTCAGTAGATAGAAGACCCAAAAGAAAAGGGTCGGTGTTTGGGTCGGCAATTTGATCTTGTGAAATCCACGGCCAGTCGAATTGTGCTTCATGATCCATATCCCTGAGAGGATGGGACTCCCACGTCGACTGGAGCGACATCTTGTGATCTCAATCCTGACGATTAATAGAGAGGTGTGCTTTCGGGAGTTTTGTCAAAGTTGTCAGGATGTCTGAGATGCGGATGAGAATAGGGGTTGGATACGCAGAAGGAAGTAGAGTTGGTTGAGGTGGATGGGAATTTGATGTGAAGGCCAAGAAAAATGCGCAGCCGACGGGATTTTGAAAAGTGAAGAAGGTACCTTAGAAGGTGCGCTCAGGAAGTGTGGATGTAGTTCCTCAGTCGTTGCTGGGGAGGGTGTGGCGATGTTTATTTGGGAGTCGGGGTTGAGCCTTAGGCACTGTGTGAGAACAGTACTGGACGTCGCGCCCTGCTCCCATGACGGGTAAGCGAATATACTCGGATGGTTCATATGTGCACACAGCTCATCAAGACTGCTTACCTACCTTGTTTAAGTAATATTCTCAAACCAAATGATGGTAGCAAGTCACGATGCAGAAGTCAACTCCTGGAGCTACACCACAGCACTCTAAAGATCACTGTTGAGATAATTCCCACCATGAGCAGCATCTCATCACCTTGAGACTACTTCTACAGTCCCCCGGAACACTATACCTGAGTGGGTACATGGCCTACCGCGAATGTATCCACAGTAGGCACAGGAGACGGCCCATCAGGAGGTCGATTGGCTCTCAAGGGCCCCCCTTTTCGAGGCCCGAATCGGACTCTTGGAGGAGCATCTATGACCGACGACGGGCACGAAGTCTACCTTTGCGCGAGATGTGATCATACCAGAAGAAATGGAATACAGAATATGTTGATGTGTGTGTGGGAGACAAGAACAACGACCTGATTAAGACCCACGATCGAATTGTTTACGAGCTCACGGGGTCATTGCACAATACTGACTGACCTCTGTGACTCGTGACTGGAGCTGCAGAGGCAAAACAAAGTACAGTTCATCGGCAAAAGATGGGAGAGGCGCGATCAACATAGGTATTTACCATAATCAAAGAGATGGAAACTCCTCACCTTTCTTTCGCCAGCTGGAGCAGCCGTCAATTAATCCCCCCAGTTCTGGCGCAGCAAAGAGTAAACAATCACTTTGTGATGCTGGAAGCAAAGACGGGTCAGCAAATACAAAATTAGACAATGGGGCTGAGCGGAAAGGCTTACCAGAAGGTTGGGTAGCTATTGTGCTTGGTCCGTTTTCCTGACAAGAAAGTTTTCCGGAAAGGATAAATCTAGCTCGAATCCTTCTGAGAAGAAAAGATGGTGCGAGTGATCTGATCGGGTTCAATAACGGACATTATCAACTGCTCGTATAACTATCGTCCTTGTACCCCGTGAAACCCCATATTGAATATTTCTACCTCGCATATCCCGCGCGTTACACTCGTTGCCTGAAACTGCAGGTGGATACTCGTTTATTTCCCAGTGAATTTGCTCTGGTATTCCAGATCGTTGTAACTCATGACTGTAGTGTCGAAAGCTACCAGAACCCTACTGCTGAGACAACCCCATAGCCCCTTAACAATGTAGAAGCCCCGAAGAAAACGCAGTTCATATCAGTTATGCCAGGTGCAAATGTCTCGTCATGTCTTCATACGGCTCAATTGGTATTGGACTGAGGGCTCGCACCGGTCTTCTGACGCTTCAGCTCCGCGCGACCGAGCTCATTTTGCACATCGCGGGTGCTATTGACCGACTTGTTTCCCTGTTTCATCTATAAGGGTTAGACATAGTTGAGCAATAAGAAATAGAAAGTCACATACCTTTCGCTCGCCAACAGGGCCAGCTGCGAGTCTGCTCAACCAATCTCCGCGTAAAGCAGAGTGAATGGTAACCTTATGATGCTTTGCGGAAGTCGGCGTTAGCATACGGAGGCCGAATGGCATGAAAGCAAGGAAATGAAAGAGAAGAGCCAACATACCCGCATGTTGAAGCAGATTTGATCCCAACGCTCCTCAAAGCTGTCATACCGTTCCCATCCTGCGCAGCCATGTCCACTCCAGCGAAGCTTCAATTCCCATCCATCCTGGCAAGATATCGCGGTACGTTGTCGTCTGTTAGCACAAGCTTGTTATAAACAACAAGGATGTGTGCTTACCAGGAGTTTCTAGCTCAGCAGCTCTACCTCGATGTTCTTGATATCACATCGGGTTACCGTTCGGAGTAGGTGAGTTGGAGTACTTCTCGGGTCCACGTACACAGCATCGAATGTGCTAAGCCCTGGGATCTTCTTCGGCATTTCCTGGCCCAGCTTTCGCTTTCGTGAGGAACCGGCCTCATCCCTGGCATCAGCTTCATTAGTGTTGCCGTGCTTGGCCTCTAGCTTCGCCAACTTTCCCAACGCGGCCTTTTTCTCCTGAAAGTCTCCCATGTCGAAAATGGCCCCGCACATCTGCTTCACATACGCGCGGCGCTTTTCCTTTGTCGAGGGCCAAGAAGGATCCTCAACGTGGGCCGTGGAGGTTTGGCGCAAGTGCTGCAAATACGCTCTATCCAATATCGAAGCCTCCTCGAGGTCGTCGATCAGCGCATCGTACCCAATTGTCAGGGGCTTCTTAAGTTCGGTTTTGAGCAATTGATTATGATGGTCAGTGACACAAGAGGTCTTGGCTGACTTCCGCGTCTTCTTCTTCTCGCTCGCTGTAACCTTCTGCTGGCAGGTAGATACAGCCCAGCGCAGCGATTGGTGATATTCAGTGATCGTAGCCGAGTAGTGGTCGGCCTCGCCTACTGTCAGTTGGCCAAACCAAGCTGCACACTCTGCACCGAACTTCTTGACGTCACGGCTCGCCTCGTTGTAAAGAAGCGTTTCGTAGAACGCCACGCAGGGGAAAGAACGTGCACCGTCGCCATATCGATATGGAAGGATTTTGTCTGTTTACATGTCAGATGGTGTCCATTGTACGCGTCAATCTCGCGTCGAACATACCAACAATCACAGAGAACATCAACTTCTTCGTCTCTAAAGAGGTCTGATCGCTCTGTAGCTGTTCCAAGCGACGAGAGAAAGCTTTGAACTCTGCTCAACTGCCGTTCTGATCTTGCAGACCACCAGGGCCACCGTGTCGGTCAAAAGGGGGTAAGTCATGCGATTCTCGAGTAGTAAGCTCGGGTGCCACTTCGGCTCTGCGAGCCTGGCCTGCATCAGCGAACGGGAAGGAGAACTGGGGGCATAGCTGGAACCTCTCAGGCATATTTGGGTTTTGATAGGCTCCCTCGCCGTCTATGGCCTGGTGGTCGGCCATGTCGAGGAGCCCGTGAACGTAATTGTCGGCGAGAAGGCCTTCTCCACTGCAGACTCGTCAGTCGGTTTTGCATGCGATTGTGGACGAAACCACGCATCAAACTCACGAATCCGAGGCATCCAATCCAGTTAGAGTTGCAATTGTGCAATAAGCTTCGTTCGGGCTCGATGAGAAGTGAGCTGTCAGCGAGAATGCATCCAAAGCTTCGTGGCCGATCTGCCGCGACATTTTATTCTCGCGATGTCTTTAGGGCGTGGAGGCGATGATCAAAAAGAGTTCAAAATGAGATCTAAGACGGCTAGGTGTAAAATATGACCAGAATTTCGATCCCAGTCCGCGTTGTGGAAAGAAGTTGGGAAGTTGAGACGGGGAGAATGGTTGCTGGGGTTTCCCTGAGCGACGAAGTGTGGGTGTGAACACAGTCTCAGGTACTGTGGGAGACGAGAAGCGTCGGGTGGCAGAACCACCGCTCAGCCACATCGCGCGCTGATCTTGGCTCCCGAGAATACATCAAGAGGCAAAGGGTGTATACAGCTAGGCTGCGGTGCTTTCATGCCTTTTTGAGGAGTCCGCAGGTTCATCCTCTTGCGATCTGGCCATCAGCCTTCCCAACAAGATCAAGGTTGATCCCAAGTTATTGTCATGGATAGGGAAGCCCCAAGCTCATCTGCTGATAGCTTTCAGGCCTTCGAATCAGTCCTTTCTGCAGTTATGCCAGCGCGAGCACTTCGTATGCCGGCCCGTCAGTTTGAAGGTTTCTGCGCAGTCTCGCTCAGGGTGCTTGTCTTGGGGAAGCCAGTCAGCGCGATGCTTAGGCTTTCCACGATTCATCCGCAACTCCATGACCATTTATGCCTCAGGTCCAAGCTGTATTCTGCATTTTATTGGTGGTTGCGGTGCGACGTGCTGCCAGTATGACGAGCCGCTGATGTCCTTACGCAGGCTGCTTGGGTTCATGCTGTTGAGATCCTAGCGGCTGGGAGGCAAATCAATGACCTTAGCTCTTCCCAGGCCAGCAAGATGTATTCTCGAGGATCGCTTCCTTGGACTATATACTCGAACTTGCAAGACGCGAGTTCTCGTACAACGCCGCTTGCCAGCAATCGGTAGCACTTGTATTGGAAGGCTGTTCTGGTCCCCAGATCAAGTGTTTCCTATGACATTTACGCTATTCCATAGAACAATTCTTCGTGGTAAGGAAGACAGTCCATGAATACCGAGACGTTAGTCGAAAGGATTTGATTGATGAAAAAGGCTTTTATATTCATTATCAAGGAAAGGTTGGTGCCCCGGCCATTCCTTCATGCGGCCACGATTCTCAACCCGCAACGCCAAGCAGTAAAGCTATGGGATGGTTAACATCCCCCCCCTTTGCTGCTGAGAAAAGTGCAAATAAAGAAAAGGCCGGTTGTTGTTCACTTGAGTGACATCCGCCTCGCCGCCAGGGACTTCACCCCTACGTAAGCACTCGTCTAATTTGCGCCTTCAAGATCATCTCGGCCAGGGGGTGTGACTTTGGTACATCTACAGCGGATCTTGCGCGACTCCTAATCGGAAAACCACCATACCAAAACCCCAATCCAAAACAATTGAACCGTAATCGGGGGTCAGGTGCCTGCAGCTGCGTCGTCTGGCAAATCCGGTATTGTGGTCAATCAATTGAGGCGCCTTGCGGATACAGTGACCCCGAGCAATCTCTCGGCATCTTACAAATAGATTATGTAGAAAAGGCTCCTGCCAAAAGAATGCTGGAGCGAATCGGATGCAATGTCTCCATCCAATTGGATCAATGTTTCTCTGCTATTACGCAACGTTCGAGGAGTTGCTTTGGTCGCCTTCTCCCTGCTTCAATGTGCTACTCTGCAGCTTGGCGCCCGCTTTGTTGAGAACATCTCTGCCGACCTTGTTCTGGACGTCTCGCTTCGCATTCACGGACTTGTTGTACATCTTGAGCTTAAGTCCACAGTTAGAGAAAAGAGCTGGACTCAGCAAGGTGGGGTGCTTACCTTGCGCTCGCCAATGGGTGCACCTGCCAGGCGTGTAGTCCACTCCGTGCTCAACATTGAGCAAACCATAATCTTGTGATGCTGTCAGGTAAATACGTTAGCACTGCTCAAGTTCGAGTATCGATGAACTGCCGGGAACCTGACTGACCTTCATATTGTAGCAAAATTGGGACCGACGGTCAGCGAAGGTTTCATACCGCTCCCAAGCTGGAGTGCTGCTGCCAGCCCACAATGGCTGCATCTCCCAGCCCTGCTGAGCGTTCATGGCCGATACCTGGGACTTGGTTAGAACCCCTTCCCTGCAGATAGGAGAAATACCCTACCAAAAGCTTCTAGCCCTGGATTTCGATCTCAACATCAGACAGCTTACGGCCCACGACAGCTTCCAACTTCTCGGAATTGGTTTTCTCCGGGTTGAGGTAGACTGCCTCGGATTTGTTCGGCGCGGGAGGCTTCGTATGGGCGGTGCCACCCCTCTTCCTCTTGCCAGGTCCTTCCGCGGCATCGTCTTCGTCTAGGGCTTGCTTCTTTGCAAGACCAACGCGCTTCTCCTCGAAGTCGGATAGATCGACGATTACCTCCACAAGCTGCCGGATATATCTCCAATCGTGTTTAGCGTCAGTAGGCCAGGTTAGGTCTTCAGTAGTTTTCTTCAACTCCTAGCGAAGAATCCTCATATATTCTCGCTCAGTCTGAAGGAATAGACTAGAGTCCCGAATGAGACCTCGGTACTTAAAAGAGCATTCCTTGTTCACCTCTCTCATCAATAGAGGAACATAATGATTGATGACCCGCGCAGAGGTCTTGATCGTCCTCGACGGCTTCTTAGACGTCTTTATAGCCTAACTCGAAGTTAACTACGCCTCTAGGGCCTGAAGTTAACCACTCTAGATCTGATTAGGTCCAGCAATCTATACTTTAGGTCCAAATTCAGGCCGTAGGCTTAGTGACTCAATAGTATATCGCAGGAGCATAAGCGTCCCGATAGTGTCGTCTGCTACCTCCTGGGATACCACGTAGAAGTACTCAGCACAGCGACGCGCTAGAGGCTATATATCATTAGCGTCCTCCTCATGATGCGTCAGGTAGATATAGAAGTCCACTAGCAGGAAAGTGCGATTACCATTACGATAGCAGTACTTCAGGACATAGTCTAGCACGTTCATCAATCTTTATTAGGTAGATCAGTGCAATATAATACAGATCCAACATACCAAAAATAACAGTAAGTGCCCTTTTCTTCCATTCCATGCTGGTGTCAGGCCTGTGGAGAGCCTTCAAGTCTTGAATGAAAGCAGGCTCGGGGCCCTTCTCCTCGATGCTTTCAGGGCGCCTCTGATCCTGGCGCTGCGGGGCGCCTTGAAGCTGCTCTAGATTTATCATCTCATGTTCAACGGTGGGAACATATTTGAAGGTGTGCAATCCGAATAGGTCTTGCAAATCTTGGCAGTTCTGGTCGTGAATTGTCACGCTTTCCTCTCGAGGATGGTCGTACATGTAGAAGCTGGGTGCTTCATTGTCAATTTCGGCCCATTGTACAGCGGCGCACTCGGCCACATGCCTCTCTGCACTATTGCTGTCGACGATCTAATTAGAGGACTTCCCTCGGATTCTCACAATTAGGCTAGGCGAACTCACACAGAGAAGTCTCCGTTCGGGATTTCCTGCTGGTAGGGAGAAGCCGCATCTCCTAGTCCCGTATCGCACGCAAGAAGCGCCGGGTTTACCGTCGAAGGAGACCATACAAGGTCAGGCATGACTGGTATGGCAAATACCTGAACAGGACGCGTATAAAGGGGGTGGTTCTCGGGGGATCAGGTGTTGTCGAAATCAGACGCGATGGTAGCAAGGGAAACAGCGAGAGATTTGGTCGCGCAAACGACGCGTAATTAGATACGTGTTTGCGTGAAAACGTGGGAAAAGGAATAGTTGCGAGAAAGCGATGGCTGGGAGAAGATAACGCGTGGGAGGTGACGTTGTCTAGGAGACCACGAGCGGCTCGTACGGTACCTAGGGGGAGAAGACGCGTGAGGCATCAACTACTGTGGCCTGGCTCATACTCGATGGCGTATTCAGGCAGACTCTCTGGTAGTCGGGTCATACTTTGCTCTCGGCTTTATGGGTGGTCTTGATATCTAATTCACGCTTTATCCTGAAATTCGCCACGCTGATCACCATCCCTCTTTCCCAATCTCGTGGGTGACGGGTGCCGGTTCTAGTCAGAGGGTAGACGACACGACGTCAGACATGATTGGTCTTATTCTGGATCCTGGAAGAAACCTTGACTACTGATGACTGTGGGAAGAAGAATGTATGGGTAGTGCAAATTGATGGACGGGGCAATTTGATGAGAAAGGATTGGATACATAATGAAGGCATTCAAGTTCATTCTCGGTGCCCGTGCGACGCTCTCATTTTAAAACATAAACGACAACTCGCAAAGATATGCTGTTTGACTCCAGTATGATTGCTCTCTTGTTCTAAAGGGCCCCTAGCCCCCAAAGTTTCATGTTCTAGACCAAAGGCCCGTCCTACGACGCGACCGCGACTCCGGCTTGCTTGAACTGGGAGGCAATTTGGTCCCGTAGCGCGATGAACAGCGTCTCGATAATGGCATTGCCACCTCGGGAGACGTACGCCGGATAAATCAACGCGATCGATTCGCCCGAACCAGAGCCTGCGACGTAAGCGACATCGGCGTCGCCTTTGGCTTGGTTACTCAATACCTCTTCCTGGCGGGAGTGAAGCTTGTCGTAGGGACGTCGGGTTATAGCGCGAAGCATGTCGTCGTTTATATGCTGTTGATAAAAGATTGTGTATCTCTCCTAAGTATGTGCAGCCTGGCCGCAGCTTTGGCTTTTCATGGTGTATCCCTTCTGGTTTTCTTTCGCCGAGAGCTTTTGTGCATGAAGTCAGTACTTGGAAGCGCAATTGCGCAAACGTTTCGACTCCCACGACGCTCCTAGCAGATCATGTCAATGTCGATGTCCTTGATCTCATGACGAATCACGGCCGTCGATTGGGCCCGAGGTGAACTTTGCGGGTCCGCAAGGATAGTATCCATAGGGTTCAGCTTCGCCTGCTTCATCTTGCTAGCAGCCTTAATGCATATCTTGCGTCTCTTTTTGGGTGCCTCGCTGATTTCATCATTGATGAGTGAGGTTGCTCAGGCGACGACGCGGGCCTGGGAAAGGTGGGTCGTTGAGACACGTGAGGCAACAACGCCTCTGGCCTGGGCCCGACGGGCGCGACAACGCCCCCAAGCAGACTCCTCGAAACTCGATTGACACATTTCCAGTGATTCAATCCAACTTGAATGTTAGACTACGCTGGTCTGTTGAGTCTGCCGCTTCGGTGATGACACCATGTACGGCTTATTAGGCAATTACGTGAGAAAATTAGCATGACCTCAGATACAATAACGATTCTTCGCTTTTGAAAGAAATCAGCCATCAGACTCGTCTCGTAGGCTCTTTGAAATGTTCAACTTACAACAGCTTGTTTCCATGTGGCTGCCAAGTCATTCGTATCAATAGTATGATGCTGCCGACACCAGCCTCTGTAAGCCATTGAAGCTCCATGCTTTAGAATTGATGAACGTGAAATATTTTGAAACAAAGGTTTGAATCTCTTGATTCTCCAGCATTCATCTTATCTAAGTGTGTGCAATGTTGCGGATTAGTCGACAGCCGAGAAAAGATTCACACCTTGTGATTACTATTTTTGCCGAAGAATAGAGGGGTATCAGAGTAGGCGCTCATCAATGGAGATAGTATCTTTTGTGATTTTTGGGAATGCGCGCTCACAGGAGGGCCTATGTGATGTTTGCTCCTTCATAATTGTCCGATTCCTCCGAACGATTGGGAAACCTTTCCCTTGATCCAAAATTCAAGAATTCATGAACAAAATTCCGTTTCTTTTGCATATTTTGCTGCGCCCTTTAGCTCTACTCGCCTTTCCGACGAGGCCGTTTCCGGTCGGTGTATGAAACGGCCCAGCAATCGTCGTTGTTTTGTCCAGAATCTATGACATGCACTCGGCATCCAAATTGTGTTCCGTCCAGCACCTCAATCCAAGTGCTCGTCTCCCTGTTCCGTCACGCCGGTCTTACTGCTTTTGATGACGCGTCTACCAACACGACTCTCTTCGTCGCGCTTCGCGTTGAGCACGCGGTTGCTGGCTTTGGCCTTGTGAACAAAAATATCAGCGTCTAAGGAGTATCCTGATGCAAGGAGTACGGGACAGAACACACCTTCAGCTCGGTCAAGGGAGCCGACGCTGTTCGCGCAAACCAGTCCACTTGGATGAGCGAATTGAGAAGTTGCTTGTTTGTCTATTCAACAATGGTCAATGATGTTGGCTGCCAGCCGGCGAGCTTAACAGCACGTACCTTCAATATCAGACAAATCCGGTTCCAGCGTTCTTCGAAAGAGTCGTATCTTTCCCACACGCGGGCTGTCTTGCCACCCCAAGGTGCCTTCATTGTGAACCCTTCTTGCTGCTTCTGAGCCTGAAGCTACAAGTCAATCAGTAAGCAATGCTATTTGAAGGTGCTTCCACATCGTCCTACTCACGAGTAGCTTCTAGCAGACCAATTCAGCCTCGAAGTCTGTGAGGTCATAGTGTATGATAGCCTTCAGTTGTTGCTGCGGGGTGCTTTTCGGGTCGGCGAGGACCGTCTCGGCAGTGTTCAGCTTTTCGAGTCGCTTCAGGCCGTGGGACGCGCCGTGGTCAAGCTTGCGCTTCTTGGATGCACCCGTCTGGCACTCTGCCGGCGTCTCCTGAGTGGCGACATTGGTTTCGTCGATTCGAGCTTGCTTTGCCAGCGCGGCAGTCTTCTCGGCAAAGCTGGCCGTGTCAAAGATGGCTGCAAAGGCCTGGCCAATGTAGCCATACTGCATCTCTTGCGACACAGGCCAGGTCGCGTCGGTCTCAGTAGGGCTCTCCAACGCATCCTTTCGAATGTGGTTGTCGTACGCCTCTTCTAGTTCGTCAAAATGCTCCATGCTACGAATGAGGCTGCGGTAGCCCATAGTCGCAGGATTGGCCATTTCGCGCGCAATGAGGGGGTGCTGATGATCGGTGATCTCGGACGCTTTTGCCTTCCCCTTGCTGGCCGGAGCCGTCTGCTTCGGGAAGTTCACGTGTCTCAAATCAGGAGGGCTCGGAGTGGTCAGCGACTTGCGAAGCTCAAGGAGCTCATCAATGCGAAGATCAGCATCGCTAGGGGTGATGGAATGAAACCATTTAGCACAACGCGTCGCAATCGGCGTGGTCTCGTCGCGGTCAGGCTCATTCTGGAGTAGGTACTCGTAGAAGTCCTCGGGTGGAAACAGACGATAGCCATCATGGCGACGGTATCGGATGACTTTGTCTTAGCGAATGGTTAGCGACAGCAGGCTGCTTTAGACAACATAACTTACCGCATGCAATGTGCAAAATCTGCAGCTTCCTCTCCGAGTTGGCTTCCCCGTCGAAAAGACTCTCAAACTCGACAGCGAAGATTGCCGCGCCGTTGTCGTTTTCCGAGTAGCGTTCGAACGGCTGCTGTGGAAGGAGGACCGGCATTTGCTGGTACATAAGGTTCTGCGCGTTGAAAGCATCTGCGACTGATTGAGGGATCATGGAGTTTGGGGAGATGTTCCTGTTCTGCTCCTCCACTTCCCACCGTATGTCAAGTCTGGCTGGCCTTGCGCCAAACAAGCAGAAGGGTTGATGGGGATGTCAGCGATTTCTTCCGAGATCAAAGTGGCAGGGCCATGGCCAATGTAGACATTAGATGGGCCTGTCATCTTCGTATGTCGGCGTGATGGAATGCTTTTCGGAACTCGATAAATAACACTGATGGTGATGGGTCAATCGAGTGTCGTTGGTTGAGATATAACAGTGTTGCGAAAGAGGAAAAGAAGCTTTCTGTCGTAGGATAAACGTCTGTGGGAGGGAAGTTGTTGCTGAGTTGGCAACGCAGGTCCCGAGCAGGTTTTTGTGGTGGGAAGGGTGGCTGAGGCATCAAGCCCTTTTTGCCTGAGTCCAGCGCAACCCATCACGTAACCTGCTTTGCGTCTTCAAAGCGTTTTGATGAGTATGATATACAGTTCAATTCCTGATTTTGGGCACACCGGAACCTTTCAGTGAGGTCAGATGCGTCGTCAGATATGTGGCATTTGCGATCGACGTGCCTGAACCCCGTCTGTTCCATGTGGGACCATTTTCGGATTTCGAATTACCACGACTTTACGCCTCAAGCCTTTGCTTTGGGGCTTCTCCGGTCATTTACGAAATTTCCTTGGTGTGGAAGACGGCTTCATACTTCCCTCTGGATCATTTTCTGTTGTTACGGCTGTCGGTGTCTCCGGAGCAACGCCACCATGCTAGAATCCAAATAGGGGGCGATGACAGCGGGCAAGATGGAAAGCAAGGGGATGAAGTAATTTGTTTTGTATAAGAGTGTCTTGGGACTTTGGCCAAAGACTAAAAGCGAGACAGTTGTTCAGAATGGCAGATCAGGAAAGCTACCGTGTTGGGTGGGAAAACGTTTTCGTTCCCTTGTGAAAAAAGGGGGACTGTGGTCGAACAACTCGTGGGGTTTGGGAAAGGGGGGCCTGAGGACATCCGCGAGGCACCAACCTGCGTCGCCTCAATTCCACGCGACTGGACATCAGGTGCCAAAAGTCCTTGAAAATACCTGGGGTTACATCTTCGTAGATTGAATGAAGATTCATGGTTCATCCATTCAATGTCTTTCGGTCTTCTGACGACCAGAAATAAAGGAGTACCAACAACTGAATGCATCTTCAAGCGCCATCTAATTATTTATACAGTACTTCTTGCTTTGAATGCTTCTTGTGCGCTGTGTTTCTCTGACAACCAATCTAACAGAGGAACAAGTCTTCGTCGGATTGAATACATGTTCCCCAAATGCCTATGGACGGTTTGTCTTCCAGGCCCGGGCCAGTCGCTGGCCTTCTTCTGTTCATCTTGGCTATTTTTAGAAGCCCATTGATGACACATACTCTTTTGTTGGCGGCCTTCTTAGAATTTCTCGCTTTTCTCGCCCTCTGTGCGCTAGGTGCGGGTGAGCTTGTCGGCCTCGGCGGCGAGTTCTCAGCGTTGGCGTCGACCGTCTTGCCAACGCCGGAGAGGTCGGCGCTGACCTCGCTAACGCGGTCTTTGTTGCTGGCAGCCTTGGGGGAACCCGGATAGAGCATCTCCACGTTGTCGAAAGAGTCGCGAATTTAAGCGACTCCGGCGATGATGACGTGGGTAATTTATTCCTAGATTCAAGCTGTGGCTAGAACCCTGGTTTACGAGATACAAAAGCCATACCACGGCCGCAGCAACACCCTTGGAAGCTCTTTGTCAACGTAGGTCAGTGGTTTCAAGAATAGCTACTGTATACAGCATCGTTCTTGTCAATGTCCTTCCTCAAATATAGCCGAATGATGATCGATGGGATATCCCGAGATATCTGCCTCTGTGTCGGTATCCTCATCGACTCCGAAGCTCAAATCAGCTGAGCGGTTCTGAGCTCTAGTTGAATCGGTCTTTAAAAACATTCAGAGCCGAGAGACAATCGAAATTGAGGTTCTCGGAACCTTTGTTCCAAGCCGGAGGGGCACTTAGTTTCCGGCCCGGGGTTACTTTGTGTACTTGGCCCAGTATCCACTCACAGCCACCTAACAAACTAACAGTGAAGAGTTGCGGTGCGATTTGCGATTCGGCGGTCTTATATATGGACACATTAGGCCTCGTCAGCTTGGTACCAGAGATGTGATATCTGAGATAGTCTTCCACGCGTAACAGGTTTTGGCAGAAGTGGTTGGCATGAAGGACTTTTGACGGGAAAATGTGCTTTGGAGCAGGTTCAACTATACTCCCTTAGGATGATAATATGCACTGTCTGTCTGTAAACTTCTCTTTGCTTTTCAAATTCGTCTTCGGCACTCCTCGCGCCACACCCGCCGTACCGAAGTATTCGAAGGCACGTACTGATGCAGTGACGACGATGTCTGCACGTGTTTTTAAAGTCAGCATACTACAATTGCCAGTCAGAACACACAACCCATCGCACGCTTTCTGGGTGATACACAGATTCTTCTTGAGCAACGTCCCAAAGGCTAACGGGTAGAACCTTGCCAGCCCGATGCGTCCACTGCGATATTTACCGAGTAGCCATCTTTGAACGAGGGATCACGAACTGAATCTCCGTTTTTCCCAATCACCCATTTGTTTGCACCACGGTTCCTTCACCTTTAGGACTGAGTTTGCGCCAGCAGCCGATCGCCCATGTATAGCTTAGCTAGACCACCCGCAGCAGGTTCTCAGTCCCCGTTCCTCCGTTCCCCCGCTGAAAGCGAAGGGCATCCCCGAGAAACACCATGATTCGCCAGTTTGGAAGATAGTTCTGACTAATTTCCGAAATGGCGGCCCAAGGCGGCGAGGCCACCATTGTCCTGTTTCTTCAACGAGCTCTAGCTCGGCAATCAGCCAGAAACCTGGGGCGCTCTTCACACCAAGGTTCGTGTCGTTAACAGAGATCTCTAAGTGTCGCTCGTTCACGGCTCAGCGCGCTGCGCAACAGTTACATGGAGCGCTAGACCCTTCCGGGTCGTTGCACATCTCCCTGCGATGTTGCTGGTCGCACTTTATACAGTATGCCAGGCATCGGGCCCGGGGCAGCAATGTCGCTTCTTTCGGCGAAGAGCCCCCAAACTTCTCGAGTAAACGTCGTAAAGTCGCGCGAAAGATTAATTTAAGCGGTCTTACGGTCGATATTGTCTAGATATATTTCGCGCCAGCGACGCTTCGAGGCTTTTCTCCGCAGTGTTCACATGCCCTTGAACCAACCCCAAGCGTTCTGTGTTATAACTAGCGTCAGAAACCTTTCAGTATCTGTAGATGAAGGCTATTCCGCTTCCTGTGAAAGGCTTAAAGACAGGGTGAAGAAGTCGGCCGTAGCATAAACGGTAACATTGATCATCGTGCGTAAATTGTTGGATGTGTGTCATCTGCGAAGTGAGGAAAGACGGAGCGCGATAGGGAGAGCGCGCGATAAGACGCGTCGAAGGAGGGCGCCAGTCACAGGATTAAATCCTCATCAACGATATCGGCAGGTATTATTTGGAACTTCGCCGCGTAACAAACCCTCCAGGAGCAGTAGTCTTGAGGCCATACTCATTGCGCAGAAGAGTATGATGAAACATCTCAGCAAGGAGCTTGCGGGATCTATCCCGGAAGCGGTGCTTGATTACGCCTGCTACGTCAAAGGTCAGCTATCGTGTTCTCAATCACGACTCCACGAGAGAGAGCGAAGTTTTACCACAAATGATGTCCATCATAGTGGATTTCTCGACCCGCCCAAACTTCGCGTCTCAATGGCGATCGGCGTCGCTCTCGAAGTCGTGGACGCGTTGGGTGGCCAATAGAGGATTCTGAGTCCCTGGCGAGACGAGGCGAGCCTGAAACCTTGGTTATTTAAGGCCTGAAGATAGCAAAAGGGTTAATGACTATTTTTGGCCTTGGTCAGTCTACCTTTTTACTGTTTGCCAATAGAGCGCGTGCTCAAAAGCTTGCAACAATCGCACCGATGTCAGCTTCAACCAGAATGGATCCATGTTCCAACTTTACGTTGGTCTGACAATGGGCAAGCCCGTTTACTTGTACTCGTCGTGGTTTGCGACAAGCAGACATGCTTTTTCGAGTTGGAAGTGGCTCAAGGTTCTTCTGCAATGCAATTGATACTTCACTGCGGGAGAGATCTGGTGGTAAATTATGTGCGATGTAATATGCGGACGAAAAGGACAACAGGAGATTAAAAAGGTAGAATCAGGATGGAGAAAAACGCGTTCCATCAGACAGCTGTTCAGCTCGTACTGCGACCAAATCGACGGGTTCGGCAAGCAGTCCTTTCAATCCCCTCCACTTCTTTTGAATATGGATGAAAATCTGGAAGTATCCCTCTTCCCCGCAACGGGCCGCGGAGACCTACCATCCTGCTCCCAGGTCCCCAAGCTTTCGGAGTCGCTATCGCGTATGCTTGCTCTCATCTCGTCCTTCAAAGCCTTGATCTCCTTGTCTTGTGCGGCTCTGGATGCACTGTGCAACTCCAGCGTCCTCCCATGTTTTTGCTTCTCCTCGGCTGCTTCCTTTCTCGCGTCTTCTGCAGTAGTCCTTGCCGCAGCACACTCCTCCCGCGATCGGGCGAGCTCGGATCTGGTCATCTCGAGCTCTTGCAGCAACCTGTCGCGGAGACTTTTGACCGAGGTGAAGCCCTCGATAGAAGCGTCGTAGTTTTTCTGATGCTGGTCAGTCCTTTCCCGGTACTCGTGCCAATCCTTTCGTAAGGTCTCCATGTTTTGCTTGTAGGATGCCGTCTCTTTCTTGGCCGAGTCAACCACCTCCTCCATCATCTTCCTTTCTGCGCGGATTTCCTCGGTTCTTTTGATGGTCTGAACGGCCTCCTCGAGCTTTGCCTCCAGGGGGCGTATTGTCTCCTCGTCGTAGAATTTGTGTTCGCCCTCGGGCTGCCTCAGAAGGGCTTTCATGGTCGAGTTTTCCCTCGCAACCTTCTTCAGGGTGCGGAATAGAGGAGCGACTGCGTCCGCGAGAATTGAGAAGCACTCTAA